AGAGTGTTGTTTGGATCCGTGACTCACTGGATGTAAGTTATCCCTCCAAACCAAGCCACTGAATCCTAACTCTACTAGAGGCCGTTTAAAGAAATGTTAGTCAGTTTCATTGATAGATGTTTCAATGTTTGCCTAGATCCGATAATATGAATAGGTTATGAGCAAATAAACTATTCCACTTGAAGTTGATGATACTGTGTCTGATTTGAACAATGGGTAACTTATATATTGTCTTTTGACTAGAACTATGCTTCATCCAGTTTTTTTAACTTGTTAAATAAATAACGTGATACTGACAATCAATCTGTTCTATTCTTATGAACACTAACTTTGTCATAATGTTGTAATTGCATGTTGGCAACAATTTTTATACCAGCGGACATCACGACACTAACTTTAGATTTAGCCAGAAGTGTTAATGTGATAACCCAAATATAGAAAGTGATTTGGGGATAGAGAGAAATGAGTAGTTTCAAGAGAGACCAATCAAAATGTACTTCGTGTTATCACTTCTATAGTTAGATAGCCAGACAGACAGATGGTGGATCAGCCAATCAGCAGCATTATTTTAAACAGCAAACTATCTATATATTGGTTATATTTCCCTTTGTTTTAGGTTTTCGACCCGAAAGCACGTTTCTGCACGTCCATCGTGTCTTCTACATTACTTAGTCGAGTCGGGAATACACTACGAATGTGTTGAATGTTGGTGGCTGACACTCGATATTTATGCACTGTTAGCGGGCATAAGCCATACCAATTTTCGAATAACAACAGCGGCGACGAGGATAGGACATTGGGAAATGCATTCTTCGAAGTTGGACAATGTCGTCGGACAAAAAATTAGGATTATCGAGATTCTTACGCAATCCAAAATTTCTGGTACTGAATCATCGCGTACTACGCCAGTTTTAATAGCTCCTTCAATGGCTGGAATCGCTAATAGCATCACTGGATTTCACTACTATCCTGATGCCAATGACACTTTAGATAGTTGGTTTGGGCATTATGAAGACTATTTCAAAGTGGATTTTGCTGGCCAAGATGATTCCTGGAAGGTAGGTCTCTTACTTCGAAAATTTGGTCCACCTGAGCTAGACCAATACTGCAAAATGATTTCGCCGCAGAACCCATGTGATCGCACTTTCAACGCCACGGTCCAGAAGCTGAATGACATGTCTGCAGAATATCAACGACTGCGTAACCTTCAGCGTGAAACGAATTTAGCCCACTTTGGACGCCAGACATCTCATTCTTTCGCATCACCCTCTGGGCCTATCTCACCTGTTCTTCAACCCCATAACTCATGCAACACCAATCGACCCTCGAAGGAGACACTCCCATCATCTTGCTGGCATTGTGGTTCTTGGTATTTCGTCAAATCTTGTCTACCTAAACAACATCGATGCCGTGACTGTAATGCTGCGGGCCAAAAGGATGGTTTTTGCCACCAACACAATGACGTGTATAAATCTCATCCTTCAGATATCGTCGCAGATCTCAATATAGAACGGTCGGTAAATCTCTTGGCTTGGTTTATGATTTTCAGGCTTATGCACCTACCCGTAGAAAGAATATCGAGAAAACTACTGTTCCCCCAGTAAACAAGGAGAAACTCTCTCTGCATCAGTTAGACAGATGCAAGAAAAAGACAGTACAGCCCAGTCTGACACTAAATAACATTTTTTCGAGGAGGGAGCTGATATGGGGATAGAGAGCAGTGATTAGTGTCGCGAGAGACCGATCAAAATGTATTTTACGTTATTAACTAGAAATTTGTTGAATGTTGGTGGATGACACTAGAGATACGCGCATCCTTAACTTTCATACTAAACATAACAGTTTGTAAAAACTTAACAACGAATAGGTGGCTTGTCTGGACGTATATTTAAAACTAACCTAGCAACTACTGAATTAAGCGGTTACTTTCCTCACTTATGCATAATAGCTCCTTTTAAAACCGAAAGAAAGATCCTACTTGGTTATTTCAATAATCACTGGGCTAGTCTTACAGTCCCTCCCTTCCGACACAATGAGCGGATCGAACCATAGGTTTCAAAACTGGACTGATAAACAATTATGTGGTTGTCATAATCACTCAAATAGCTTTTCGATCTGTGACAAATAACGTATTTAGAAGAGGAGCCATAACTCATGGGGTCATCCGAGTTGAATGTAATAACAATTGCTCACAGATGGTACAAGGTGAAGACTACTTTACTTTAAAAGTTGAGAGAATTGAGGAAATATGAACCACTGGATTCGGATGGCTGAGTTGTTCGCTGATAAACATGAAAGTCTCAGGACTGAACCCTTTTGGGGTCTTGATGAGTAGTCCCAAATTAGGACTTAACTGGTGACCAGTACCAGCAAGCTTTCCACGTTTTCTCAACCGATGTCGATTTGTGACGAAAACTGCTTTGGAAGGAGGATTATTCATTCAATGTATATACGTATGAAATCGCTATAAAACCATTGATAAAGACTAATTTACCAAGATTGTTTTAAACTGGAAGCCAATTAGTGTAGAATGAAATACATTTCCGACGGTATCTAGACACCGCAACACTACTCTCTGCTCACCCGTTTTACTACTGTTGCTTATTAGAGTAGATGTTCGAATTTATGTACGGTACCTATGAGACAGTATGAAGGAAGGTAAGGATAGTAAAACGTACTGATGAAAACATTTTGAACAAGAATAAATTATGGCGAACCTTGAGTTAATGAAAACATTCCGCTGTGATAATCAGTGCTAATAAAATTTAATATCAGCGCTAAGATGATAAACTGTGTGTGTTGAATCAAAACACTTAAAATCACAGTAAATAGATCGATATTGAACGAAAATATCAACTTCAATTAAAAATCGACCAAGTTGCCCTGCTGTGTATACACTGGAAGGTTTGGACAGTTTTGGCATATATTGTACACTAAAATAATTTAACTAACCCACATATTAGCATGACAGCCAATCAGACGCGAACTGGGATGACCTTGAACAGCGATGTATCGATTCACCATACAACTTCATGGTTATAGTTTACGAGACACGTTTAGTTAAGAACGGTGAAACATAAGTATTTTGATGGTTTATGTGAACTGAGAAACGCTACTGGCTTTGTCATTTTCGTCCACCCTTGTTGATTCCGGTGCAAAAGCTGTATCATATAACACAAACTAAAGAAATCTCAGCAAAGAGGAATGAAATAAACATTAGATAGATAGATACTTCATTAAATTAAATCTACCAACTTCTGCAATTTAATTTTTCAAATATTCTAAGAGTGCGTGATTAGCTACCGAAATATTCATAAGGTTTACAGTTGAAAGTTGCATGAACATCATCAGCCTAACCTGAGCGACATGTTTGTACATAATGTTCGAAAAAAAGACCTAGGAATTCAATGCCATCAAATGGTTACTGTCAATTAATTCCATGTCTTATTAGAAAGTTATTGGTTTTAGTGAACAACATGTGTCTAGAAGTTTACCTTCTCTGGAATTAGCTAAATACATCAGCAAAGTGTGTTCTTCATGACTGCTTCTTCGAAAATCGTCTTGCATAGCTACATTTTCGAACACCTGTTCTACTCTGATTACATTTTTACGTTTTCCTAGAAAGTCAAATATAATGCTGTCAAAGCCGTGAAAAATTGACAACTATGTATTGTAGAAGAATTACTCATTTATCATTTCCAGTCCCAGTTGTGTATTGAAGCGATCCGGTATAAGTTTAAAGTCTACTCCAACAACTAATGAAATAACCACTGGAAACATCCATCTTTCGCTGAATACAAAAACCGCTTTGGTTGTTTTACTTGTTAGGATAACCTTTAGCGTCATTGAGAGAGTAACTTCAATCTTTTATCGCAATGTGATGCTTAATTCTTCCTTCAAAATTGAATGGACTATATTACTATTCATCAATATTATTTAATTTATGAGTTCCTTTCTTTAGATTACGTCTTACTTTCATCAACCTAACCAACTGATATGTCCCGTGAAGTAACGAAATCTCATCATGTAAAACCTCATACCATCTATATCAGTTTTATCACACTCTAGATTATTACTCAATGTTTATTTCTAGAAAAAACTTACTACTCAGATACTGAACACTTTCAGGTAACGTAATGCTACTGACCAATAATAAACTGACTGAGTTATTACAATGATAAAACTTTTTTAACTCTGTAATATGACCTAAGTGAAAACTTTCCTTACCAATATGTCGGTTTCTACTTTTCCGTGGATTATAAAAATGACAACTTACGTCACCAAATTTATTGCTCACGTAAATCAGGATGTGAGCTGGCGACTAGATGTGTTCAACTTCAATTTGACTGAATCTTGTTAAACGTTGTTTATTGCTTATGCAATCGACCTTTATCTAACTTCTGAGATGGTGATGCAATAGACCGAATTCAATGTACTAACGATAAGTAAGGGATACACTTTATCAAAATGCTGTTTTATACAGCATATGATAATCCATCAAACGGAATGTCTAAAACCGTTCCTAAAAATCACACCTTTCGAAAACGCTACATGTATGATGCATGAATCAACCCAACATACAAACCTTTCCGTGAAAACCATACTAGAGACCTACAGTTAAAAAGCATGATATGCAATTGATGCGACAGTTTTAATACTTTGTAATCGTATTGATATCCGTAGTTACAACAACTGTCCATTACAGTTGTCGCTAAATTTTGCCTTAATGTCGTTCAGTAATCATTATTAATTATGATAGACACTAACCAGTAGCAGAATCCAAGGAGCACGTTTCGTCTAGTTCAGGACTCTTCAGCTGTATTCAGAGTGAGTGTTCTTCCCACTGCGATTCAAACCATCACTTCATATACTACAGCGTAATCTACTACGCTAAAAACTATAATACCATTTTTTGCTTTTGCTTTTCATGAACATACTCTTTTCTGTTAGGATGAACCTCATGCATGCAACACCCACTTAGACTTACACAACACTTATAGACATTTTTTCAACTGCATACTGTACAGGTAACTGGAAATACCACTAGATGAAACAAACAGTGGACACCAGTCTTTTTTTGTTATAGTGCACCTTCTTATCCTAATTAGATGAAGGCTGAAAATTCCATAACGTAAGTCAACCATCAACAAAAACAAGTTAAACTTTGAAATTTTCAAATAATTCGTATTACAGGTAGACTCATATGAATATTTGTCTGCTAGCAGTGTACACACCGTTTCATAACAGTCGCATTTACATTTCATCCAGCTGAGATGTTTACATATGTGAGACAAATGAAAGTTGCATAAAGACCATATATAATCAAAAATACTCTAATGTAAATTATAGAAAAAGTACTTTACTACTTGCAACAAGACATATTCAGAATTAAAGCAAAAGAAGAAATATATTCTTTGAAGGATAGTATTTCGTAAAACTGTAAGAATACTAAACTCGTAGGAAAAAAACTGAAACATTGATTTGATTACATTTCAAAAAAAAAGATAGATCAGTAGAGGGGGAAAAATTATACACAAGAAGAAATAATTTTGTCTGAGAAACCACTTTATTTTCATTCAGAGATAAACATATTACTTCTAAGTAATGTGGTAAACAACGAAGCAAAGTAGATGATGATGAGCGTATAAATTAATAATACAGCCAAATAAATTGTACAGGTTGGTTGCTCATCTGTGGAAGTGTATATATGCTGATCGATTGTTTATTGCTTCATGACATGAAGTCTATACAAACACGACGAATAGAATTGATCCATCTGAAAGAAGAAGCAAACAGGCAGTAGGCATATGTGCAACAAATGGAAACGTATATTTGTACGTATGTGTACAAGATAAAAATTACTTTTGCTTAATATGAATGTTAATGAACAAAGTTAAAACAAGCCTAGAGATCAAACACAACTGAATTTATCAAAAACAATGATTTCAAATTAACATTGGATTGACTAGTCACAGGAGGGTTATCAGTTGTTTCTTTCACCTACCTAGGCAGCGTCCTATCAATTACAGGCAGCGGCACAGATGAAGACGTCAAAGCTGGGATCAGAAAGATAGGCCTTCAGTAATCTGAAATCAGTGTGGAGATCTATTGCATTGCACCTTACTTAGCATAAAGCGTGAATAAGATCTGGATTTTCAACACTAATTCAGTCAAGTGAGTCAGTGCTTCTATGTGATGGTTGAGAGACATAGTGCGTTACGGAAAACATTTCCAACAAACTACAGACATTCATCAACAGCTGCCTACGCTCGATACTGACAGTGAAGATCAGATGGTCAGAAAGAATAGGCAAGGAGGAACTCTGGCCTGGCAACGAATCAACCAAGAACCCATCGTCCAACAAACATGCAGAAGAAAGTGTGTCGGTCCCCCCCCCTACACACAAACTGGCGAAATAGTTGCCAAAAATGTTAAATCCAGTTCGAAACAAATTCTGTAGGTTTTCAGTGAAAGATACTTTTCAACCTCTCAACTATCGTAGTAACATGAATATCAAAAACAAGATTACGGACTCTTTCAATGTAAATTCTTTATTCACTAACATTCCTTGTGACTACATATCTTCTAGTAACCTCCCATTTCCTATTGCTTCAACCTTGCTGAGGAAACTATTATTACTATGTACCGACGAAGTTCATTTCACGTTTGAAAGTTAACGCTTCCGACAAATTGACGGACCTTTACTAGCTGATATTTATATGTTATGTATCGAAAATCTGGCTAGTGATTTCGTTTCTGAAGTCTCGCTTTACAAGAAGTATGTTGATGACATCATAGTGATTTTTGAGAGGCATAAGAATATGGATTGTGTATCAAAAGACTTAACAGAGTACAAACTCACATCGGCCTGACTTGTGAGAGAGAGAGAGAATAATAATCAACTGCCATTCATAGATACACTCCTGAGCCGCCAAGAAGATGGTTCAATAAGACGGTCACTTTACAGAAAGCCCACATGGACAGGGCAATACCTGAATTTTCACAGTTTTCGTCCAATCCAATAAAAGCGAGGTCTAATAAAAATGCCTGTTTAGTAGGATCTATCATATTAGTACACCAGATACGACGGATGAAAAAATCAAATTACTGGCCAAAGCACGTATGGAAAATGGATATCCGTTGAAGTTTATAAACCGTCGTAGAGGTCAAGTAGCACCAAAGCCAACTCAAAAGAGACTTCACAAGAAAAGCATCCATATCACTCTACTATACAGAGGGGAGTGGAGTAGTATCATTTTGAGACGTAGGCTGACATAAGCCATTAAGAAAACATAGTACACGGCAAATATTATCACTGTGGAAAAAGCAAAACACATGTTTCACCCAAAACCTAAACACTGAATCAGTGATTACGCCACATCCCATTGTGTTTACAAATTTACATGTGTGTGTGATCACACATGCATAGGAAGGAGTAATCGAGTCATGCGGTTGAGGGTAGGAGAACATGTACCTGAATGGCTTCAAAAACAAATGGAGTGCGAAACAGTAATTTCAAAACCGGATCCTCGTTTTACTTGTTTGAGGCTAATATTAACTATCTCAAAGTCGTGCTACGTTAAGAAGTTGGCAACCTACAGCATTACAACAACACTATGTAATAACTTGGGATGTGTTTCTCTACTATTGCATTAGGACAGGTCTATATTGATCACCTCCGTTTTAAAGTAAGAAGCGCAGCGATTCCATGTATCGATCGCATCACCTGCCTTGGAAATTATAACAAGTCTGATAGAATTATGTCCACGTAGATATGAATAAATATTAAGGTTTAAGTGTACTAGACAGAACAGAACTCTGTCAACTATGTGACTTTGAAAGATGGTCATCCATGGTAGACAATTAACGGAGGTTATAAGTATTTCATTAGCGTTGTCAATGTAATAATTCCCATATGTCGGGAAATCACGGCGTCAGTGATGTGTTCTGCAGGCGTAGAGTTTAATTTAAAACAAATGTATTATTTGGTGCGGTTATAGATCTCATCCAGTGAAGTGATTAGGCGTTAAGCATGTCCAGTCATCGTTTATTGTAACAATCAATTTTCGCTGCATTAGAGTTATACTGAAGGAAACTTAATTGGTCACACCAAGATATGAAGTCACTAACTATTAATTTGAGTTTCGATTGTAGAAGACGCTATATGATACCGTACACGAACGACATGAGTGATGACGATGCAGCTAAACTTTTTCTTCATTGAAAACTTGGAGAATATCATATAATATATACCTCTAACCTCTTTAACTCTTTAAATGATGCTTAAAAGCATTTTGCAACAGGTGAAGTTCTAGTGTTTTTCTTCTACTGACATCAGACCTGGCAAGTTTAAACGATATACAATTAAACCACAACCCTTGTTGCTTAACTGTGCCTATGAAATGTGATACCATGTTTTCCTTGGTATCAATCAGGAATGAATATATCTTTTATAACCAGATGGTTATTTACGCAGCGTTAGGCAAATCCTACATTTCTATACACAATGTTCCTACCTTGAAGTCTAAGAAATAGGTCAAAAAACCAAAATAAGTAGTATAAATGATCTAAAATTAAACACAAAACCATCTCTACACCTTCACATAAATATTCAGGTGGGTGGTTAATAGACGGATTTTATGAAGAAAAATAGCTACAGGAACATCACCAACAAGTTCTAGCAAGGCTATTCCATATACCTCTCTGTGCAAGGTAACAGTAAATAAAACAATAATGGATCATCTTACGAACATTATACAAACTCAAATCTATCTTAATAAGGAAAGTATTGAAACTGCAGCAACATATGGATAATAAGATAGAAAAAGTAATAAAGGAATATGAAATCTATGGCATTACCAGTGTTCACGTGGTAGACACATTCAAGACGTCTAGACTGAAAGTAACTGTTGGAATCTTCAGATACGGTTAGCAAAGGACACGTGGTCGAGATACTGGATGAACGATGTGGTACCCAACAATTCGTTTAGATACCACAAGGAATGAATACAGTATTCAAGTGAAAAGAGTATACTTCAATCGGAAAGTATGAACCTACAGGAGCTAATCTTGGATCTATTTACTATATGGGTATCCTAGAGCGAACAGACAGACTAGGATACTAAAACTGGAAAATCAACCAGTGGGGAAGCAATGTTCTTTAAAGCGGTTAAAATGAATGATACACATAGGGCTGGAAAAGACGTGAACAAGATAATTTCAACTTTCTATTAGGTAGATTTGTGAAATTTAGGCATAAGACATTCCAACATTCCCAACAGTAAACTTTACGAAGCTACAAAATGAAATGTCTGTTCACGTAAGCTGTGAAAGTAGAGTAGAAATGACTTAAATGCTAGCCTCACCAAACTTACTTCAGTTTGAATCTTATTCGAGTAATCTATGATCTTTAAAACCTTTTCTTGAAAAAAAGGAAATTTCTATCCAACTACTGTAGTCTGGATTAATTAGTATAATGATCAATTCTAATTAGCGTATCATATTATACGATCTTATTAGAAATCAAATTAATATTACCAATCACATAAATTTGCTACTCACTGGGTTCTAATTTCAACTGTTGTGGCTTCAAAGTAATGCGCTGGGCGGTCTGTGTTTAGTGGTAAGAGTAGAAATCCCAAATCGTTCTTCAAAAGACCTAATATCTCAGGACTGACTGACTCAATATGCCTGATGATGTCTCTATTAGTTACGGTACCGTTAGAGTCAGATTGACTTGCAGATACCTGCTGTGAAGTGTCCCCACACTCTTCTTTAGACAGCCTTTCTCTACAAGACTGTGTGGATCGGTTGGATAATCTCGCTGCTACTAGGGCATCTGACAGAGATTTGATGTGAGCATGAGTAAGGGATTTCGACAAGGCTGCAGCAGCTGAGAGATTGGAAGATTGAACAGTAGAATTATAACCAAAGATATTGTTGTCGCATGGAGGAGGTTTATAGTTCCGGTACATTGGATTACCTTGACGGGAGAAAATAGAACGCTCCAATTTAGGTAACTGCGTAGTGTCGATAGAAAGATCTGTGTTCATCATCCGAGATGAACAATCAAAACTCTTCGATTTAGGGTATGGCATAGTCTGGATTCCTGAGATACCACCATATTTTGAAGGTTCGGTATTCAACTTTTCATCAAGGTAAAACAGTCGTAAGCCAATTACAGTGATTTTATCCACCGCACGTGTATCAGCGCGAGCAGCGTAGAATGACAGGGAAGTGTCAGTTTGCAGGACACAAAACAAACGTGACAAGCAAGCAGACGACGACTTGTGACTGACTGATTCCAATGATCTACTGGTATCAGAAGATAAAGCAGGAGCTGTTTGAGATTCTCTATCGTGATGGTTGGATACGTTATCCAATGCTGTAACAAACGAAGAGCTCGAATTAGTAGAGACTTCGATGTCATGGAGCATTTCTTTACGTTTTTCAGCACTCACGTCAATAGTTCGATATTCAACACATGCTCTAGATGATCGAATAGGTGATTTATTAGACCACGAGTTGATGAAATGACTCCACATGAGAAAGCCGGTTCTTAGTGGTTGAGGTGTTTGCTGCTGAGAATAAAAAAACATAGACAACGAAATTAATCACCACAGGGAAAACTAAGTAGAACTCTTACGTGTCATTTAATATTTCATGCCACCTGCGCGGGTATATTAAACTTTGTAACGAAATCATGAGAATTTACGTTGCGGTGTTATATGCGAAACTTTAACAGGATGTAATAAAATAATTCAGTAATCACTCAAACATTCGTGTGATAAGTTAAATTATACCTTTTGTGTATAGACTTAGTAATCAATTAGTTGCTTAGTACTGAGTTAGTGAAACTGATTTTGATCTCCCAGTTTACCAACTGGAAGCAGAATATCTCAGTCAATGACCACAGCACTTGATGATATATTATGAATCATTTTACATGAAGACTAGAGAGATTATAGGACCATTCAGTGATTTGGAACGCTTTTGAAAGCAATATATCATCCATATTACAGATACGTAGATATGGTTTTAATTATTTACACAAAGGTAAACGAAACATTTTCAATAGTTTTTCTGTATGTATGTTCACATTACGGTGTGTATGTTTTGTGTCTTAGATTCATCACGATTACAGCATTTTATAATTTCCCATTTTCTTTTTACCATTATATATTAATATTTGTATGATAACAATGTGAAGCGTCAGCAGCTATTCCCCGATTGCATTTTAATCAAGTCACTGTTACAATAATAGAATTCACATTGATACAAAGAGAAGATTAAACAATTCAGTCCTTATCATTTAGTAGAAAACAAATAACACAAAAAGATACAAAATATTGATTAAGTATGTAAACATATTTGTAGGAGAGGTGATAGTGAGTAAATGGTTAAAACAAGCCAGAGTAAAAACTTTTATAATACCACATCCGTTTAGGTTATTGTACAGCAAAAAGGCAGTACAGCAGCACAAAGCAGTGAAATGATCAGAAGACTTTTGCGTGAAGGGTATATCAAAACTAAAGTACTAAGAAATATGAGACTGATGATTTCAGAATGTTTCTGAACACGCGAATACAGATTATTGCTTAAAGACTGGTCTACGTTGATGCCCGGCTAACAATAGGAAGTGAACGAGTTGATTACAATGAACACTTCATTTAAAAAGGTAGATCAGACATAGTGCATCAGCGACAAACGAAATCTCTAAATAGAAGTTTCCAACTGTTCAACCATTATTGCCTTCTTGGCAAACGCTGTGTAGTAGCGCCACCAAGTCAGTAATGTAGTTTTCAACAGGAGAGGGAAGACAACTGATAAGGTTGTAAACCTTTATCGATTCAGATACCTGGGACATATTTTATGCATGTCTAGTTACCATCTACCCCATAGAAAACTGTTAGCTGAAATCGGTTTCGGTTGTAAGGAGATGATCGCCAGTCAGACTAAATCGTGTTATCATTCCATGAATTTACTGACTATTGGTCTGTGTCGTGTGAGGAAATGTTGGCTTAACTATTGAGATCGGTATGGCAACTGAAATTGGTGTTTGGAGGCTCCTGGTGGCGCAGATGCATTCCAATGTTATCTTTATCATACCGAGTTTCGTCATTGTTTTACTCGTTGTTTATTTCTCTACTTTTCATCCTGCTACCTCTCACCTTGATGTGCTAATATGAAGTGTGGCGATTTGAACTGTTATGCAGTAGGAAAAATACAAAGCATTGACGTAAAGCAAACAAACGTATACATACCATGGATCGTATCATTCAAGTTTGCAATTTTCTATATACTTAGAAACTAATGGTCAGCAAATTCTTTTATGAATGTGAATGCTTTAAACGCTTCAGGAGAAAACAATATCAACTGTCCTCTACACATATCGAGATTGTCTCTCTACATGTATTTTCGATTATATTGAAGTCACTCGATATCTTAATTAACTAATCATTCCATGGTTTTCATTAGAGAAAAACAATAACCTTCATATTGGTAAATTTACAGAAACATACATTTACCTAAGGTTACTATTTAATTGAATAAAAGTAGTCCCTAAACCTGTATATGATACACAAGCATAACTATACAAAATTAATTAGAACGTTTAGACACACATATGACCATTACAACAATTGACCTACGTTAGCTAGTGACCTTCAAAAATAATAGGCACAAAATACCTTTTAATTTTAGAACAGTAATTTCTCGCAATCAACAACACCAGTGAAGGCACAAATACCCGATACTTTTCACATAAAGAAGATAATCTACACACGATGATATATTTGAAGCAGGCATAAAAGTTTGACAGTAAAACTTTTTTAACTTAAATAGCTTTCACATTAGAGCACAAGTGACTGACATTTTAGGATTGTGAAACAATGTCTTATTTGCTGTTTCAGATATTTCAAGATACAAATTCTTACAGTGCGGATATCACACAAACTCGTCTGGTCATCAGAATGTTTTATTACCTTCTTCCATCCTGGTTTCTTCAACAGTTTCCACAAACTTTAGTAAACAACTGAGCCTATGCAATATTGTTCTATATTTCATGAAGACACAATTATAGCGCATGTAAGAAATCCAACTGCCTACTAGGAGTCAACTGTACTGTACAGTAGCTCACTTTTCCCTATTATGTAGCTGTGAAACATGGCAATTAAAAGTTAACGTGCAAAGGATTTTAAGTCTTCGACTACCGCTTCCTTGATACCACTGAGCGTGTGTTATAGAGCTACACTATTAACGCTGACATCGGGCGTACAGTTTTAGTTAAAACAAGTGAGCTAGTTCATGACGCTGTGAACCTTTATCAACTCGGGTACGAGACATATATTACGAATGCCTAGTCACCGTAAGTAGTGGTAGGTTCAGGATGGAATAAGCGTTCAAACCAAAACATTGCATTAGTCAATGAAGTGCCTGATCGTTGGTCTGAACTATGTGCAGAAATATGAACCTTCTGATTCAGGTTCACATGACAACTTAAATTGGTACTTAGAAGCTCTAGGAAAAATGATTCAAAATCGATGTCAGCGGTGGAATCGCGTTCACACACATTACCTTCTTAATCGTCATAAAACATTGCACTATTTGCTTTACCTTTCGCCTTCTCTTATTATGACTTTCGGTGACTTTTTATTGTTCATTTGTCTATTTCTTTGCCTTTTATCTTGGTGCCTCAAATGTTGATATGAAGTGTGACAATTGGGACTGTGATGAGGTAATACTATAATGTTGATATTGGCTGACTGGAAACACACTGAAATTAAACGTTGTAGTTTATTCCAAAACCTATCCCGTTGTCTTATGTTAGGTAGTTGAATAAACTAGTTTGGAAGTCACACTTACGTTTTCTACAAGCAAATCAATTGAGGAATGTTATATACAGCAATGTTAATTAGTACTTATTGTTTATGGCAGACGAGGACGTCAAAGTCAGAATCGGAAAAGCAAGACAGGCGTTCATTAGCCTGAAACCAGTGTGGAGATCTTCTGCACTCCATTCAGCATGCGGAACAAGTTACGGATTTTCAACACCAACGTCAAGTCAGTGCTCTTGTATGGTTCAGAGACTTGGCGCGTCACGAAAGGCATTTCCAATAAACTACACACATTCATCAACAACTGCCTACGCTCTCTCGCTACTGAAGATCAGATGGATTGCCAGAAAGAATAAACAACAAGGAACTCTGGGAACGAACCAACCAAGAACCTATCACTCAACAAATATGCAGGAGGAAGTGGAGATGGATTGGTCATGCACTGAGAAGGCCGACTGGGGACATCACGCGTCACGCCCTCCAGTGGAATCCCCATGGGAAGCGACGAGTTGGACGTCGGTGTTGAGGGTGACATGGAGGAGGTCGTGCGAGGAGGAAATGAGAGGTTGTGGGCTGTCATGGAACCAGGTTCAAGAGATCTCAGAGAACAGAGGTCACTGGAGATGTGCTACTGAAGCCCTATGTTCCACTAGGAACCCAAGGGACTAATAATAATATAATAAGTTTATGGCAGATATAGACAATAGCTCGAATAATTTGCTGGATGAGTACTAACAAAAGCGGTCGATCCAATTTCATATAGTTAAATGAATAGAAATCAGCTAGTGATGACAAAAAAAAATAAATGCAGAACTTAACTCAGAACCTCTGCACAACACAGTGGCATGAAAATAAAATATGGATACAAAAAAGACAAAAGTGAATGGATGGGAAAAGAATTTCAAAAAATGAAGGTTGGTTCAGATATTTGAAGATGTCGAAGAGTGTACACATCTATGTCATTGTGATCGATTTTCAGCCATATCAGTAAATGCCTTCAAAACATTCATTCATGTCGTCTAGATAACTCAAAACAGACAATCTACACCTCCCAACGATGCTGAATATATGAGTTGAACACAAAAGTACAGCATAGTTATCTTTAGTATTTTAGTCAGCGAAACCAATAACAATCATCGCACCTAGCAATTGTACCCTTATTGATTTTTGATTGGTTCTAACTTCAAAAGTAAAAAAAAAACATCAATAATGCAACCAAGTAACCTGGCAAAAGTGTGCATAATGGGGTTATACAGGTCTAAAGTATGAACTACTTTCCAGCGTATAAAAACAAAAGGAGTGCAACTGAACTTTTGAACCAACGACGAACTGTTTGAACAGTCATATCACATAGCTCAGTTCTTTACTAAGCAGAAACAGCGTCTGATTTCAACAGTTATATCACGAACAATACAACCGTAAATGCAAATTGATCGTTTAATCCCGATCGATTAGTATAACACTGATATTCTATTTGAAAAGTATGTTTAGACCCTGACATTATTTTTTCCTATCAAAATATCAATACGTTTACATCTGACTAAGCGTCAGAAATATACTGATACTCAGTTTGTAAGTTGAAACCACCAAGTGTGAATGTTAATAGAACAATTGGGAATGTTTACATTGAATTTCATCACTCCATTGATATTCATACTAACCATTCATCTATGTTGTTTTCAACATTTTGAGTGTTTTCATCTTATTGCATTTGTCTTAGATTACTTACTAAGATGTACCAA